TATTGTTTGATGGTATCCAGAATAACTGAGGATATTTTGAGGGAAATTTATCTCCAGGGCAAAGGCGCTCAGCATTCAGGGTATATAGAAAGTCATGTACCAACTGGGCAAGGAAGATCTGCGTATCACTAAATGATACAAGTCAGACTGCAGAGGACAGATAATTCAGAGGATTCAGGCCGCCTGATGCAGTGGGATGAATGTCCACAGACCCAGGCTACTCTTGTTCTGGGCTGGGCAAACCGACCTGTCTTTTCTCACTGCCCCCTGTAAGGGCAGAATTTGGGAGGCAGGATCTGAATTTAGCTTTGTTTTGTGCTGTTCATGAAAGAGAAAAAAGCTCATTATTGCTTTGACATTTTGAACGGAACATAATCTATCATGCAGTAATGGAGGGAACACATTTTAATATTTCTAGAAAAGACCATCTTTTGTCATACTACGCAGAAAAGGCAAGAGTGTTCAGTAAGTTCATAGTTTGTAATTACCTGCTTAGGGAGAAGATACTAGAGAGATTTTTAATCTACCAGATAAAAACATAACAAGAACTAATGGTTGGCAGTTGAACTCAGCAATTTAAATCGGAAAGAAGACAGTTTTAATACCGAAGATAGATAGTCAACCATTGCCACAGACTACTCTGATACGTAGTGAATTCTCTCTCATTTGGCATTTCCAAATCAAGTTGGGAGAAGGAGGTGCTAAAAGACATGAAGTGGTTCAAATGCAGATCACTGGGCTGGATGATACCTGTATGTGAGGTGCAGACTAAATGGTTTCCTATGTTTTTCATGTACATGTAGGTAGGACAAAGTATTATGATCTTAAATTGCAGGAAGAAATATTTAGATTAGTCATTTGGGGAACCTTCATGATGGTAAAGGAGAGAAGGAATGAGGTAGACTTTGGGAAGGTTGTAGACTCTCCATCCGGGTGGCCTTTGAAGTGGAGCATCTGCCATAGATAAGAATAGATGCATAGATATGGACATCCCTTGGGTCAGGAATTGGACAAGGACAACCCTTAAGGTTTGTCCCAGCTCTCTCATTCTTTAATTTCACGGTGCTTCCTAGCCTTCAAATCAATATTTCTGAACCTATATACCCGTGTCTCAGTAGGATCCAGCCCTACAAACCTGTCTCATGTCTGAACTCCAGTGGCAGTATTTGTTTGGCTTTAGTGCAACCTTGAAGCTGCTATTGACTGCTCAGGGCTTGTGGCCTGGATGTCTCATCTCAGTATGTACACCGTATCTACCAACTAATGTAAAGATAAAAAATTATACTCGAGCCATCAGCTCCGAAAATCATGCCCAGTTATAGACTGTAGGGTTGAATCCATGTGCAGTTCATTGAACAGTATTAATGAATTGGCTTGTGTTTAACTCTAAGCACATGAATAATTTCATCACTATCCAACAGAGCACTTCAGCCTATTCTTAAGTTTCACTGATGTTGATTACTCACATGCTCAAAGTCAAGCACATGCTAAAGTGATAAAGACTGCATATGGCAAAGCCTATATAGCTAGTTGTCATAAAGTGGGTATTTAGACAGACTTCAGTGCAGGTGGCAAGGGATTAAGATAGACATACATCAAAAGTGGCCTTATAACAAAGAGTTTTATAGTCTAGGTGCACTGCATTATTAAATATAAGGATCATTCTTGAGCAATACGTGGCTGTTTCTGGGCATGTTTAAAATATTTAGCAAGTTTTTGAATATAAAAATGTTCGGAGTGGCTCTTCAAAGACTTTTTGACATTGTTCTGTTCTTAAAAGTGAACATCTACACTGCTCAGGGCAGCTTCTAGGCAAGATAACCATGAAGTGATAATATGGAAATGAACAATTTATTTTATTTTTTTAATTTTTTTTAAATGGGGAGTCTGGGGAGAGTCTTTGAGGGCTGTGAAAGTTAAAATATATATATATACACAGGCATGCACACATGAACAGTCGTGAAGCAGTCAGGAATTGGTAGCCAGGTAGCCTGCAGTCAATTTTGCCATTGTGTTGGGGTCTCCTGAAGAGGAGTGTTAAGGAGCATAAAAGCTAAACAAAACAAAAAGGAAGAGAAGACTGTTTTATGACTGCTAGCTTGTAAATCTTAGATCACTAATAGCACTAATTTGCTCTGTTTGAAAGAAAACTAAAAAGGAGAGCGATTTACTTTCCTCACTTGAATTTCACGGAGGTGAAGTTTTGGAGAATAAAACAAAACAAAACCTCTCAGTTCCATGTAACATGTAGTAGCAAGCATCCAGCCAGCTGCCATTTTGAGGGTAATTTTTTTAATCAGCCATTTCAGTTTTAGATTGGCCTTGATCCTCAGCCTGCTCAGGAATTTTTCTCCTTACATATGTGCCTTTGCTGAAGTAAACGTGTTGCTGTTGTCGTCGTTGTCGTCTAATACGCAGCTGCTTTCTTCCTCCTGTCAGCTCTTGAGCTAAGCAAGGAGAATGCACACACACACACACACACACACACACACACACACACTCACACACTTTATTTTTTTAAAGAAAAAAAATCCCACAACAAAAAAGAATGGATGCTGTGACTTTAAAAATGAAAGAATCGAACAGCTGTGGGTAATAAATCGATTAATTAGAGTGGATAAAATGAAGGTGAAGGGTGCAGAGCACTCTTTAATTTGAAGATATATGACCTTGTAAGATGCTGCACTTCATTTGCTATTAGATCACACTTCAGAAGGGGCTTTATTAAAACCTATTCTAGGGTGAGCTGAGGTAAAACATATTGTTAAAAAAAGCTTTTGACAGAGTATGTTATATACTTTAGTCTGCTTCAGTGATTTCTGTCACTTTTTATACTACACATGTTGCCATGCAAGAAAAGTTAAAGGTCTAGACATTTTCATCATATTTCTGTAAGAAACAGAAATTTAAATATTTGAAGTAATAATGGGAGCATTTACTGTTGCTTTGGCTGCAGAGCTGACATAAAACTCCCTAACTGCCTCGGTGCTGAGTAGATTTTTAAGGGATAATGTATCAGTTCCTTTCGCTGTTTGTATGTGGCTTTCATTAATGTCAGTAACAGTTACGGGCACTTTTTCCAAGCCGAGTACAGTTCTCAAACTTGTGTTTTTTCCAATAGTGGTTGTTAGGGACTAACCAAAGCAACTGGGTCTGTCCCGTACGACGCAGTGTGCAGGGCCAGGGCACAGGGGCCATGTCAGCCAGGCAAACACCCGACGTGTTGTGTACATTTTTTCTTGCCTTCTCCGAAATCGGGGTCTGAAGCTGCTATCCACAGCAATAGCCTTACTAAATCAATAGGAGCGTGAGGAGCTGCACCACATTTATCACCTACCTTTTTAAATAAGTCTCAATCTGATAGATGCTTTTTCCTTTACGCTTTTATGGATGTTCATTGGGTGATAAGATTAGATAGACAGGCTGATAGGTAGGCAGATAATCTTCTAGCCTCCTTGTCAAAGGTTTTGTAGGTTTTGTTAGCAGCAGCCGTTCCTGCAACAGCCAGAAGAGGGGAATTCAGTCAGCTGCAATCCTGCTTCGCCTGGTGTGCCTGAGTTTAATTTTTTTCTTTCTTTTTTTTTTTTTTTAACTGCTATGAGTCATTCCTCTTTACAAAGGTAGTTTCTCTTTCATTTTCAAGCTCAAGCATTGAGCTCTTGTGAATTACAGTCCCCCTGTCTCGAAAGGGGTTGTGTAGTTCAGCTTCGGATCTGAGTTCCCGCAGAGGGGCTGGGATCGGGCTTCGTTCCGGTTATGCAGATACGGGTCAGGTGGGAAGCTTGGTTCAGGCTTTGAACTTGCAGGAAGTTTAGTGCCTTTAGGTGCAGCAGGGCCAGCGCTAGCCAAAATATGTACTTTCATAAACAAACAAACAAGCAAGAAATTAATTTTAGATTTTCCAAAATGTGTAGTTGTTTTTTCAGGAAACCTCCCCCTCATTTAAAAACAACAACAACAAAACAAATCCTGGATCATGATTTTCAAGTTGACACATATTTATGAATTTATCAGAGTCTTGCAGAGGCATTGAAAAAAAAAGGGGGGGGGGAGTGCTTTTTGAAGATAGCACATAGTTTATATTGTGCCCAGGACTGGAATTTTCTAGCTAGCAAAATTATGACTGTAGTGTAGACTTGTCCACACCTGTCCTTTATGTAAAGCTGAATCAAGGTTAAAGGAATGCTTTCCACCTTTATGCAGCCGTTCAAAGAGGCTAGAAAAGCAAACAGAACAATGTTTTTGGCTCCAGTGAGCGTTTCTGCATTGGAGGGCAGGCTCAGGCTCAGGCTCAGAAATTCTTGGGACCCAGTTCAAGCACGGCCCGACATTTGTTACTGTTAATTGCAACTGTGCTGTCGGCTTTGATTACCGGATGTTTCATTTGAGTGGCTTCTTGGTGTTTTGGCAAAAAGAATGTCAAAGTGGTTTATGCAAGGGTACATTTTCCAAGCTCCTGTTGACTTGAATAGGACTTGTGCAGCTAAATACCTACATAGTATTTTAAAAATGGAAGTGCTGGCATGACTGAAGCATGTATAAATTAAATTCAGCAATATCTCAGGGGACTGCTGCATGAAGTATATAAAAATATAAAATGAAAGAGTGAAAATGACACTGGAGCTCCTACCACACTGCATTTTCCTTGGTTTTCGGCTGCAGTCATAAATCCCTTGAAACAAATTCCTTTTTGTGGAATAAACATGTGAAAGGATTTGGATCCCTATGCGTCATAAAGGAAGGTTTTATTTGCAAGTTAGAGGATATAAACGTATATAGCACCAATGCGTATGTGTGATATTTGTCATACATGTTAAGTGAATGTGTGGTGAGTAAATGTGCTGTTCAACAATTTATATCAGTCAATACATTGCAATTAAGTCCTTCTTTCAGAAATGCCAAGGAGGAAACGTGTTAGCAAAATAAAGTGCATGCCAACTGTATTTAAATGTTCTCCGCTGTATTATTTTTTGAGTGTTCTTTCTGTTTTTCTTTTATAGGTAAAGATGAGCCTTCAAGCTATATTTGCACAACATGCAAGCAGCCTTTTAATAGCGCTTGGTTCTTGCTTCAGCATGCCCAGAACACACATGGATTCCGCATCTACCTGGAAACAAGCCCTTCAAACAGTTCCCTTACTCCACGCATCACCATCCCTCCTCCTCTGGGACCAGAGACTGTTGCACAGTCCCCGCTGATGAATTTCCTTGGAGACAACAACCCTTTCAATCTTTTGCGGATGACAGGACCCATCTTGCGTGAACACCCTGGCTTTGGTGAGGGTCGGCTCCCAAACACGCCTCCGCTGTTCAGCCCACCGCCTCGTCATCATCTGGATCCACATCGCCTTAGTGCCGAAGAAATGGGGTTAGTTGCCCAGCATCCCAGTGCCTTTGACAGAGTTATGCGTTTAAATCCCATGGCAATTGAGTCCCCAGCGATGGATTTCTCCAGAAGGCTTCGAGAGCTGGCAGGAAACAGTTCCACCCCTCCGCCAGTCTCACCCAGTCGCACCAACCCTATGCATCGCCTGTTGAATCCTTTCCAGCCGAGTCCTAAATCACCTTTTTTGAGCACCCCGCCACTGCCCCCCATGCCCCCCAGCAGCACTACGCCTCCCCAGCCTCAGGCCAAGAGCAAGTCCTGTGAATTTTGTGGGAAAACATTCAAGTTCCAGAGTAACCTTATCGTGCACCGGCGCAGTCACACAGGAGAAAAGCCCTACAAGTGTCAGCTCTGTGACCACGCTTGCTCCCAGGCCAGCAAGCTAAAACGCCACATGAAAACGCATATGCATAAAGCTGGCTCCATGACGGGCAGGTCAGACGATGGACTGTCCACCACTAGTTCCCCCGAGCCAGGCACAAGCGAGCTCACTGGAGAGGGACTGAAATCCAGTGAGGCAGATTTCAGGAACGAGAGCGATCCTTCCCTGGGCCATGACAATGAAGAAGAGGAAGAGGAGGAGGAGGAGGAAGAGGAGCTTGAAAATGAGAGCCGGCCAGAGTCGAGCTTCAGTATGGACTCGGAGCTGAGTCGTAACCGAGAAAATGGCTCCAAGTCACTGCCGGATGAGAAATCCCTTGTCCTGGGAAAAGTCATCGAGAATGTAAGTCTAGGTGCCATCCAGCAATATAATGACATGCTAGCTGAAAAACAAAAGAGGAGTGGCTTCATGAAAAGGTCTTCTGACCAGCGAGACTTGTGTCCTCGAGACCTCTGTCAGAGAGATCCAGGTGACGAAGACTCAGTGGTAGGAGAGCTGGACCGCACTGAGGAAGGGACGGTCAACGGAAGAAACTTTGGCCCAGGTGAACCCTTCCCAAACTTGTTCCCCCGCAAGCCAACACCTATCACGAGCCCCAGTTTAAACAATTCTTCTAAAAGAATAAAGGTAGAGAAAGATTTGGACTTGCCACCAGCAACGATAATACCTTCTGAAAATGTTTACTCCCAGTGGCTGGTAGGGTACGCAGCATCGCGGCACTTCATGAAGGATCCGTTCCTCGGATTCACAGACTCCCGACAATCCCCCTTCGCGACCTCTTCCGAGCACTCGTCGGAGAACGGGAGCCTGCGTTTCTCCACCCCGCCGGGGGACATGCTGGACGGGGGGCTCTCAGGGCGCAGTGGCACGGCGAGCGGAGGCAGCACCCCCCACATCAGCGGTCCCGGTCCTGGGAGACCCAGTTCGAAGGAAGGGCGCAGGAGTGATACATGTGAGTACTGTGGCAAGGTCTTTAAGAACTGCAGCAATTTGACGGTGCACCGTCGGAGCCACACTGGAGAGCGGCCTTACAAATGCGAGCTCTGCAACTATGCATGTGCCCAGAGCAGTAAGCTGACGCGCCATATGAAAACGCATGGCCAGATAGGGAAGGAGGTCTACCGCTGCGACATTTGCCAGATGCCCTTCAGTGTTTACAGCACCCTGGAGAAACACATGAAAAAGTGGCATGGAGAACATTTGCTGACAAATGACGTCAAAATTGAGCAGGCAGAAAGAAGCTAAGGCCCCCCCCCCCGCCCCCGCTAGGTTAAATTTCAGGGGTCTAGGTAACATTTTATTTGTACAGTTTAACTATTGCCAACTGAGAAAAGATGACCTAACTTGCCTCCGTAAACATAACTTAGCATAACTATGGTAGGTGCCAGTCTTTGGCACTTAAAATATAACCTGTGTCTACAAAGTTCTATTAAACCCGAGGGTTGATTAAGGCAGTAAAAATTGTGGAGCCTTTTAACTGTGCAATAATTTCTGTATTTATTGGGTTTTTGTAATTTTTTGGCATGTGCAGGTACTTTTTTTTATTCTTTTTGTTTAAATTTCTTTTAAAATTTTGTTGGGTATCCCTTTTTAATTTTACCCAGTCGTAGCCTGAGATTACTTGCATTGTAGGGGAGAAACATATCTTTTTAAATTATAATTTTTGGGCCGCTGCTTTGTTGAAATTTAAGCTAAGCATATGTAATTTCTTGTGAAGAAGCCAGCATTTGAACAGAAATCTTTCTCTTTTTTTTCTTTCTTTTTTTTTCCTTTCCTCTTCTTAAATAACCTTGAAGATTAGGGAAAACAAAATTGTACAGCGAATAACAATCTTTAAAATTAGCACTTTTTTTGGAATTGGATTGAATATGTAGCACTGACAATGTCGCTGGCGATAGAGGCCTTTTCTAGATGGATTTCATCACTAAAGTTATGGCAACAAAAAAGACATAGGTGCAGAATGCAGCTACATTCAAAACCCAGAAACATTCTTAATTGTGCATTACTATCGGATAGTTTCTTCTTGTTGTTAAAAGCTATGGCAACATAATGGTGCCATTTTGTCACTTTTTGGGGTGTCTTTCCCTCCCTCTTCCCCGCCTGCCACTCTTCCCAGAGACAGTAAAAATACATCTTGAGTATTGCAATAGACTTTTCAAACCTTGGAGGAGCCAAATGCCATCTTTTTTCTTTTTAAACCACAAAATCATAAATTTGAGTTCAGGACATCTACTTTAGTCCAGATTTGCTGTAGTTAAAATAATTACTCGAAGATGGGAAAGTGTGAATTTCTTAATGAAAAGCCTCAACTCATAGGCATTTGGTTTATGAATAGAAATAATAGAACTATCTTATATGATGTACAATGATGTTATTATAAGGAAGGGAAAAACAAATTCTAGTTGATTTACCTGTCTTGGCAAGATTCTGCTCCTATTGAAGTCGGTAAGAGTTTTACCCTTGACTTAATTAGGAACAGAATGGAACTGTATTCAGCTGAAAGCATTACGACAGAAAAAAAGTAAAGAAAAGAAAAATGCACCTGCTCTACTTCCAAATTCCAAATTTTTTGAAGCCTTTTACAACTAATATTAGCAAACAGTGGACAATTATGGTCAGAGATTTTAATTATGTTGACCCGCACTTTAAAGCTTTTGTTTGTGGTAAAGAGAAAAATGGCTTCTCAACAAGAAATTACATCATATTCTTCTACTTGGCCCAAAGGTGGGTTAAACTGTAAGGGAACAGCTGAGATTAAGTGTCAGTGTTGCTAAGCATGGCATTCACAATACTGGCACTATAAAGAAAAATAAATAAAAATAATTTATTGGACAGTTTTTCTACTGCCATTCAATTTGACGTGAGTGCCTTGAAAACTGATCTTCCTATTTGAGTCTCTTGAGACAAATGCAAAACGTTTTTGTGAAATGAAAAGACTTTAAAAAAAAAAAAGTAAAACAAGAAAAGTACATTCTTTAGAAAAAAAGAGCCACATTTACTTAAAAAAAAATTACTGGTTGAAGATAGTGGACATGAAAATGCCATAAGACCCAATCAAATGAAGATGTATACCCAGCACAACTTCGGACATCCATTAGCTGAATTATTCTCAGCCTTTTTTTTTTTTTCAGGACAACGCTGCTTAGGAAATGGAATGGAAATGATTTACTGCTGAATTAAAACTCAAATGACACAAATTACAAGTTGTTATCATTGAATGAGAAAAAACAATTCAGGAACAACGGCTAATTTTTTTTAAAAGTTAAATTTAGTGCACTCTGTCTTAAAATACGTTTACAGTATTGAATACATACAAGGGTAAAAAAGAAATTGTGTGTATGTGTGTTTGAGCAATCTTTTTTTTTTCAAAGTTTGCTTAATAGGTTATTAAAAAAAATGCCATAATGGCCATGTGTATATTGTTTTCTTTTGGTGACGGGGTTTTAGTATATATTATATATATTAAAATTTCTTGATTACTGTAAAAGTGGACCAGTATTTGTAATAATGGAGAATGCCTGGGCATTTTACAAAACCAGAAAGAAAAAAAAAAACTTTTCTTTTTTCCTTGAAAATGTTGCAGTAAAATTTAAATGGTGGGTCTATAAATTTGTTCTTGTCACTGTAACTGTAAAGTCTTGAGTTTTAGTAAATTTTTTTCTGCCTTGGGTGTTGAATTTTTATTTCAAAAAATGTATAGAATCTTGTATTCGGGGATTAAAAGGTGATTGCTACACCATGTAGAAAAAGTATGTAGAAAAAAGTGCTTAATATTGTTATTGCTTTGCAGAAAAAAAAATCACGTTTCTGACCTGTACCTATTTTTCTCTTTTTTTCTCCCCTTCCCCCCTTCCCTTCCCCTTCTGGAATGGATATTGATATTGGTTGATTCATATGATGTAGGCACTTGCTGTATTTTTACTGAAGCTTGTAATTTTTTAACTGTACGCTTGTCCTTTTAAAGGGATTTAATGTACCTTTTTGTTAGTGAATTTGGAAATAAAAATAAAAACAAACAAACAGGCTGCCATAATATATTTTTTTAATTTGGCAGGATAAAATATTGCAAAAATAAAAAAAAATTTGTATGTGAAGTCCTTATTGTACAGAAAAAAAGGGGGTTGTTAGACGACCTTTGAGTAAAAGAAACAAAACAAAATAATTAAGTGCTTTTTTATTTTTAATTTTTTGTTGTTGTTGTTCACAAATAATTTTAGTTGTATATATAATTTTTTTGTCAGAAATGGCCTACAAAAAAGTGCTGTTCCCACAGGGCTCTAAATAACTTCAAAGTTGCCTGGACCCCTTGCATCAAGGTTTTACCAGGTATGGTTGAACCAGGCTGGATGGTTATTGCCTATTCGTGTGAAATGAAATTCAGTTCCCGTAAAGGTGTCTGGGGTGACACCCCACAGCTTCCCCGCACATTCGAGAGAGAGAGAGGAGATTTTTTTTCCCCCTTCCGAACAAGAAGATGTCCAACACATCTTCCCTCTCCCAGCCGCCCCCATCTCACTGCTCCCCACACCCTGCCACCGCTCTCTGGAAGAAAGTCGTTTTACAGCAAACAGTGAGAACTGTTGCATCCACTTTGACATAAAATGGGCTGCTGTTGGTACAGCTGTAACCAGGTTGAAATAAAATTGGTCCAGGCATGGCCCTCCTCTTCCCTGTCAGAACAGGACCTACTCTGTGTACAGGTCTTGCCAGTCCATGTTATTAGCTGCTTTGCTGCTGTTCAGTCCTAATTGTACATTCCATAAATTTCTGAATGTTTGAGGGACTGGGATGAAATCCTGTGCCTTTTGATTTCTCTCTTCTTTGCTGTTCTTTCTCTCTCTCTCTCATGCTCTCTCCCTTTTGGGTCGAGGGGAAGACAGGTGGCAGAAGAGGCACTGATGCTCTAGTGAAGGAGAGAAGGAGAAAATGCTCACCGCTCTTGCAGGAAATGACGGTAAAACTAAAACACAAACAACAAAAAAAATATTGCCATACCAAATTCTGCTGCTGCTTTCATCGGTGCAGAACTGCTGGAGCAATTGGAGAGGCATGGGTGCGCCAGCAGGGAGAATTTGGTTCAGCTACCGAACAGGTAGATATATGTCTTCCTGGCTTGAACAACGTACCCTTAAGACTTCTGGACAAATTCTGAATCTCAATTAAACTGATATAAATCAGGAATTATTCATCACTCTTAGTCCTGGATTACTCCAGTGTAGCTGAGGCTGGAATGTGGTCCCTTAAAGGCACATTTTCACTTTTTGGTGAAAATTCAGATCTAGGGCATTCATATAAATCCAGAGTTACGTCACAGAACTCAGCAGAATCCGTTGGACATGCATCAGTGTAATGAAAATCAGAAGTTAACCACATATTTTCAGTCCACAATTCATTGATTTAAGAAAGAATTTTACCTTTCATTTTAGCGTAAGTTGCTTAGGAGCTCCGGTCTCCCTGTTGTTTGTAATTATCCAGGATAGCTAACACCAGCAGTTGTCTAATTTTGTGACTTAAGTCACTGAAGCTAACAATAAGTCACCCAAAAGCACAAGGGTTGTGTTTCTGCAGACTGTAGTGATAATGAAATGGCCCTCCTTTTCTTCTTGCTTAGAAGAACTGTAGTTTACTAGGCCATAAGCACAATATAACATAGACATAAAATAGCTAGAATGCTGCCATAGTTCTCTTCACAATTTAAGTAGTTTTTTATTATTATTTTAAGGTTGAATTTATTACTTCCATTGTGTCTAGTCCTGCTGCCTTTGAAGTCCAGAGCAAAACTCCAGTCGACTTCCTCGGCAACAGGACAGGTCTGAGAACCTGGTTTTAGAAATAAAATTACCAGTTTTTAAGGAAAGGGTCAAAAAATCAGCATTTCATCCCAGTCCTATGTAAAAGACAGTCCAAGGTTTTGTTTATCACAGGCAAACTCATTTTTATGGTGCTCTTTGTATTTTAGAACTGCAAAGCAAAGTAACGTTGATTTAAGTTGTTTGCATTTGTACCGGCAAGGCAAAATATTTTTATTACCTTTTTCTATTACTTATTGTATGAGCTTTTGTTGTTTACTTGGAGGTTTTGTCTTTTACTACAAGTTTGGAACTATTTATTATTGCTTGGTATTTGTGCTCTGTTTAAAAAACGAGCACTTTTTTTTTTATTATGGATAAAATGTTGAGATGGCTGGAGGTCATTTCAATATGGCTTAGTGAAATATTTATTGTTCCTTTTATTCTCTGTACAAGATTTTTGGCCTCTTTTTTTTCCCTTATTGTCACAATGTTGAGTTCAGCATGTGTCTACCATTTCATTTGTACGCTCGTTCAAAACAACGTTTGTTCCAGTTTCAAGTTATAAAAATAAATTGGACATTTGACTTGATCTCCAAATCTTGTCTTTCCTGTTTTTTTGAAATTGAGGGGTGGGAAGGGGAAAAAAGAAGGGAGTGAGGGGTCGAAGCTTCAGTACAGATGATGGAGCTCGTGCTGTATTTTCTGTTGGTTCTCGTGGGAGTCAATCAGGAGAGAATTCTTGTTTGGGGAGGACACATGAGCACCTGTGTGATGCTAAGCAGATGCTCAAGTCCTGCTTACATCCCTTGGACTTCAATATAATGTAAAGTATTTCCTGAGCAGGGGTCTTGAGAGAAAATGGTAGAATAATGCTTGAAACAGTCAAATTTCTCATACGAAATTGTTATATTTGGGGCAATTAGCACAGTTTTCTGAAGACGGTGCGAAGAGCTTTGCTCTT